GATATAAGCAATAGAGAATAGAGCATCTTGTACTGCTTTTTCTTTTAATTCTTCTTGTTCTAAACTGTGATTTAATCCTTTAATTTCAATTATTTCATCATCATTATTATTTTCCAACCAGATATTGTTGATATCATTTTCTATGTTAAAATTATTATTTCTAGTATTTATATTGTTTCCTTTATTTATAATATTTTTATTATTATTAGTAAGACTATTATAATAATTAATAATTTCTATTTCTAGATTTTGTAATTGTTCTATTGGTAAAGACTTTGAATTACCAATATGCTTACCGTTAGAAGATGTCTTTTCTAGTTTAAAAAGTTCATCCTTTAATTAAAAAATTATTATCATTATTATTCTGGATATTAATATGATTTTTATAATAATTTAAAATTTTTGTCTTTGATTGTCAATATTATTACCAGGCTGTTGATTATTATTGTTGTTGTTAGGTGGTCTAAAATTATTATTATTATTATAGTTTGGAGGTCTGTTGTTATTGTGGTTTTGATAGTTGTTAAAATTTCTATTTGGTTGATAGTTATTATTGTTGTTATTTCTTCAGTTTTGGTTCATTTGACAATTTCTTGCCATGTGACTAACTCTATTACAATTATTACAAGTGGGAGCTTAACATTTATATGCAAAATATCCAGGATGTTGACAATAGTAACAAGCATTATTGTTGTTATTTCTAGATTTGTTATTGTTTTTTTGCCAATTATTGTTGTTGTTTTGTCGATTATTTCTGTTGTTTCAGTTGTTATTTTAAATATTTTGATGGTTATTATTATTCTTAGTAAACTATTAAGAGATATTTGCATTAATAGATTTCAGTTGTTTAATTGTTTTAGTCAAAAACTCCTTGGTTTGAGCAGCTATTAAAGCTTTGATATCATTTTCAGCAGCAGAAGTAGCATGATTAAAGAATGATAGTTGATATAATGCAGGTAGCAATGAATAAGCTGAGAGAGTATTGTCTTTAGAATAAGCTACTTCAACAACTTTAACTTTATCAGCAGCATCTTGTAAATCTTCTGATATAACAGATTCAACAGGAATATAAAATTCAGGATGTAGACCATTCATAAACTGCCTTTTTTTATCTTCATTAAGATATCGATTATTTGAATCTACTTTTTGCCATAATTTCTCTAATGCTAAAAAATAGAATTCAATAGTTTCACCAGGCTTTTGTTTTCTATTTCTTAAAGTATAGAACCATTAGATAACTCGATGTGAACTTCTAAATTGTTTTTCGAATTGATATTTAAATGATCGATTCATATTAAAAATAGTAGAGTTATTATTTTAACTAGTAAGAGATCTTTTAACATGATTAAACCAGGTAAGAGCTGTTTCTTTTTGATAGTTAGCTACTATCCTTAACTTTCTTTGATTATAAATATTATTTGCTTAAGCTGCATTATTAAAAGCTTTGAACCAAGCAATAAAGTCCTCTTTATCTCCTTTAAAAGTAGGATAATCTACAATTTTTGCTTCCTTAGAGTTATTGTTATTGAGTATCCAACCTAACTCAATAATTAGTTGTTGTACTAATTCTGCTGAGGAAGGTTCTCTTTCTTCATTACTTTCACAATCTGATCCTTGTTTAGCTTCTCTTTCATTTGGTGGTGTAGTTCCTCTAGTACCTTGATCAGATTTTTCTTCATTTATTACCATTCAGTCATAAAGATCTATTGAACCATCTTCATCATTAACTTGTTGGCTTATTGTAGTAGATACAGAATTATTATCATTTTGACAATTTTCAGAATTAGAGGCAGAAACAAGAAAATCTTTCTTTTCTTCCCAATTACAGATTACTTCAGTAACTATTTGATTAAATTCCTTACTTGGAGTATTATTATAATATCAAATAGAAGTTACTAGTTTTTCAAAATTTTTTCTTCTTTAATTCTTTTTCTCAAATTTACTTATAATATGTACTTGATTAAAATAATATAATGTCCTATTATTATAAGCAGATGTATTGTAATGTTTTGAGAACCAAACCCAAAAATAAAGAAATGATGGAGGAGTAATACTAGTTGTAATAGGATATCAAACTAAACAACTAAGATTAGGTTTGGCTTTTAGTTTTAATCAAGTTAAAGTTTTATTAGTTTGGTGAATAAATTCATAATCGTGAATTTGCTGTTTATATGTTTTAATATTCATTCATAATTGTTTAAAGCCAGACAGAGAAGCCTTTGTTTTGTCGAAATTTAAATAGGTCACTTAATCTGTCCTTAGTTGATGTTTGATTATTTAATTCTTCCTCGTATAGTTTTAAATTATTTAGATCATGCTTTGGATAGTAAGTATAAAAGAAAGGGTTTAGTTGAGGTTGAGGTGGTAAGTTGTAGATAGTTCCTGTAAGATTGTTAGGATTTGAAAATTTTAAATAATAGGTAGTAGAAGGAGTAGACTTAGCAAAGTTAGATTTAATTTGATAACCTTCGTCTTAGAGTTGTTTTAGTTTAGAATTATATCCATTAACCCAGATAAAACCGCAGTGCTTAGTGTAAAGGTATAGGATTTTTGTTTCCTCAGTAGTTAAAGGTAAACCAGTTTGTAATAATTGAATAATAGTTTTGACTTTATTATAGATTAAATCACAGTTTAGAACAAGAAGAATTAAAAGAAAAAGCAGTACAAGATGCTCTATTCTCTATTGCTTATATC